TGTCATGTTAATAGGATTTTTATTCGAATGATTTGTTTTATTCGTTATGAATCTGAGTATTCGAAATACATTGAATGTTTATTCGAATAAAACGAATGAAACAAATGAAACGAATAAAACAAATAAAACGAATAATTCGAATAATTCAATTTTCATATTAATATGCCGCAATTAGTTGCAACTAGTCGCGGAGCCACCTTTGCTCATGACATTATTAATGTTAAGAATTCTTTTTCTTTATGCATTAACACTTTTTCAACAGAACAAATAATCTAGACAAAACAAAAAAAAGTAAACTATTAATTATTACATAATAATAATACGTGCTCAATTACATAATGTAACTTAACGTTAAAAAAAAAATGTTTTTCATTTTTATTTATTGATTTCCAAAAATGGTATAATTAGAATGACCAGAATGTAAAAATGTATCATTATGATCATTATGATCATTATTTATCTTTTTTAGGTACTTGTTCATTCCTTTAAAAGAAATTCAATATAAACTTGCTACAATTTCAATGTAAAGTATGTCAACTAACAAAGTTTTTGTTATAAAAGGAATACAACTTGTTTTTTATGTAAAACATGAAGTACCTGAAAAAAGCACAGTAGAGAGATTAATAAAGGTGTGAAAATTTTTCTTGAAAAGAATTATTTATATATTATTTATATTATTATATATAGTTAGCATAACAATGAATGCATTTACATCGATTTAAATCAAAAAAAACCACAACTCGTTTATAATAAAAAAACAATAGGACAATGGAGGAAAAGTTGTATCAAGGCCAAATGATGCACGTTGGATTTTAGCGGATCCTTCAAAACCACAAAACAGAACACAGAGATTCAAAATATTATCATATAAAATCATTATTGATTCAATAAAAAAGAATAAATTTCAATCCATATCAATATATCAAATAGTTTGTACAGCGAAAAGGACCGGGTACTATATACATACATGTAACAGTTTTTTGTGGCCTTTGATCAAAGCTTCATAATAATATTATTATTTTAATGTTGTAGGCGAACAGAATTTACATTTCAAGATGATAAATTCATAGAAAATTTTTTACAAACTAAAAGTCATGATTTTCACGGAAAAGTAATTTATGAGGAACTCGAACATT